CACCACGAAAAGTCTAAAAACATCTGTGACTTTACAGTGCAAGAAATTCCCGACTGAAAGCCAGCTTCGCAATCAGCACTTACGCCCCCCCGCACACGAAGTAACGGGCATTGTCTAGACTTCAAATCCAACAAACGAAACCAACACAATCTGAAAAACAAAACGACTCAAGACAGACACCACAAACACCAAACAACCAGCAGAACAACTAATTCAAACACCACCAAAACAACACTAACAAAGCAACACACACACAACACACCCCCAGCACCACCCCAGGGCCATCACTAGAATCCAGCCAAAAAAGCCCAACCGGCCGTGCCCGACAGTAGAAACCTCCGCCAGCTCCGACCGCACGAGACTCAAGCCAAACCTCACTCGCCCCTCCCACCAACCGAAGCTCCGCCAAGACAACCACCCAAGCCAACCGGTCCAACTACCGCACCGCCCAAAGCCAAGCCTGCGAAAACTCAACAAACCACAGCCAACAGAAAAGACGGAAAAGGAAAAACATGGAAAGAAAATCAGGGGGTGGTGGGAGCCGAAGCTCCCACCCCCCGGCGAGATCGCGCAAGAGAGGGGTAAGGGTTAGGGTTATGGGTTAGGGAAGAGGAAAGAGAGAAGTTTAAGAGAAAAGGGGCGAAAACCTTCACGGAAGAGACCCACCGAAAGGGAAGAAAGCCTTCACTGGCGAAACCGCGGAAGTGAGAAAAAACCTTCACTGGAGGAAGGACTGATAATTAAAAAGCACGAGGACAGACTTGATAGTGTGCAATCACTGAAAATATGATAAATTCATAAGAATAAAGCATTGTTAAAAAGTATTCATGAAAGTGTACGTAAGCATCTTAGAACCAATTAAGGAACTTTCAAGGTGAACGTTTTCAAGCATTCACCAGTGCAACATATTCTTTGGATCCTGTCAATCTCTTCAAAGGATTAACATTCTTCCTCTACATCTTTATTTCTTGCCAAACTAAACATAAAGAAATTCAAACATGGATTGTGGCTTGAATCCAACCGAAGTGGGTCTGTTGATGCTAATTCCACCTACAATTGAACAAATCAACATTGTGAGATATGGAATTAACTTAAACAATAAAGGGTTTCTAGCGGTTTTTAACTGATTCTTATACCAATCAGTCCTTTCTTGAGTTTAGGTGATCATTACGGAAACTTCACAACGTGAAGGCACCCATGCTTGTAGGGATTGCAAAAAAAAACTCGTTTAACTCGAAACTCGTGGGGTCTCGCCTCAAAAGGGGTGGGGATTACTCGCCTAATCGGGTAAACATGGAGGAGATGGGGGGGAGGGTCATTGCCCTGCAGCGGGTATGGGGCGAATATCGAAATCATAGTTTCTATCCTGCTACCCGTTCCGTTTAAAGTTAATTTTAAATTTTTAAGTTTTTTATCAAATACAAATAATAGATTTATCATATTTTTAAAGAAAATTAAAAAAAAATTTAAATTTAAATTTTTTATCAAAACAAAATAATAGATTTATCATATTTTTAAAGAAAACATAAGTTGTTTCCAACAAATTGGTAAAAAATATATATATTTACTAAGTAAAGACATAAAAAAAATAAAAGCAAAAAATAGAATAAAATAAAAATTAAAAAAAATAAATGGGACTTGCCCCGCCCCGTCCTGTTTTAAACGGGTATGAGGATGGTGTAAAGTAACAAAAATACCCGATGGGACGAGGTGGGATTGATCGACATGTCCCGTTCTTATCCCTACATGCTTGGGTAGGCCCCCAGACTTGCAATTTTTCTTTTTCTTTGTTGATTGAATACGAGCATGGGTGCGTGACCACGTTTCTTATCAAATATCATTTCATATTTTTCTACATTATATTACTGAGAGAAATTGATATGTTAGTTATCCTAAAATAATTATCGACAACTATATCGTCGATGATCATTGACTACCTCCACAAACGATTATTGACGACAATATTGTCAGTCAGCAACAATCGATGTTGCAGCCTTCATCTTATTTCAACGGAAAATGAGTGAAAATGTCACAAAATTGTGCTACATTTGTTAACGACCTCATTTTAGTATTACTTTTATTGGGCTGCAAATGTACAAAGTGGTTGTTCTGAGTATATAGTCCGTAAAAAGGGATTTGGATAGGTGAGCCAAAAAAATTCACTGGACTTGCTCCAAAACAGAACTTTGAATTAAAAGGTGATTCCGTTGCCGGGACTTGAACCCGGGTCTCTCGGGTGAGAGCCGAGTATCCTAACCAACTAGACTACAACGGATTGTTGAGTGGTTTTCGTGTACTAATATATTAAAAATAAGAAGACAATATATCATTACATCGCTTGCCTTGATATCGTCGTCAAATTTATTAACTGATGGTTGTTATAGTTGCATGTTATCGCATTCAATATTAGCACAGTACAAAATAAGCTCATATTTGATGAGTATTAAAATCTAGATTTTATTTAAGTCAAAGTCAACAATTAATTTTAAAATCTATACAAAACATACCAAATATCAAAGTCTTTCTCTCTTTAGGGGCGGATTCAGCACCCGACGAATGTTGTTGACGGAAATCGAACCCAGGTCTCCCACATAGAAAGACGTCCTCCCTTCCAACACGGGCGGCCGCCCCGGCTCGCCCATATGGTAAGGGGCTATTTTGTGTACTAGAGGTATAGGGTTCAATTATTTACTTTTCTATTTTTGTTTAATTTTTCATTACAATAAATAATAACTAAACAATTATATATTATTAGTTTTCGTTTTTCAAATACTTTCTTTAAAAAATTTATCGACTCAAGTTATTACTCTATGATATATTTTTTTTTTATTGTTAGGTTTTATTAATTTATTTTATAAAATTCAAATTTGGACAATCTAAGCGTTGTTTTTTATTATTTTAAAAGTTCGAAAAATACTTTTTTCTTTTGAGCTGAAAAATAATTTTAATTTTAAAAATCATTATTTTCAAAATTTTGCATAACCTTCGCCTAAACTCGGAGCTTGTCTTTACTATTTAATCATGTTTTACGTATAACCTATTTCGTTTGAATTCGTAAAAAATTTAAAACTTCGTACATGTATGATTGAAAAATGTATTTTTTTTCTTATTATTTTATATTGTATTGGATTATATTTTTCAAATGTATATGATTTTTTCCCGTTTTAGTGCATTTATAGATTGATTGAAATTCATTATTTAATTAAATATTAATAAACAATCTTATTATTGCGGTCATTAGCGACCGCCCTAGCTAACTTAATATCCTGGATCCGCCCC